TATAATTTTTTACCGTGTGTCATCGTTATGTTTTCTACTGATTGACCGAAGAAAAATTCAGCTGCGAATGTGAGCTGGCAAAGCACTGCACACGAAAAACTCTACCACCGGTAGGTTTTCGTTTTCTCATTTTTTTGGCCAACCGAGGCCCCCTTACGTATTTTTTCGCAAGGATATATATAAAGGCGGCCAAAATCAGCTGAAAACGACCAGACCGAGGCAAACTGCCGCCGTGGGCGGTGGTGACAGTGCCGTGCTAGAACCCCAAAATTGACCGGAAAAGATTTTTAATACCGATTTTAGGTTTTTTGAGGATATTTTTAGGTACGTGAAATATATTTTAATCTCCGTAGGAAAATTCAAAAAATCTGAGAACCGCTAGTACGCGCAGTAGAAAGTTCGGTATTTCAGATACCGATTCGGATAAGAATCCATCACTCTTCTCTCCTTACGATAAATTGAGGCTTAATAATTAATAATTGTGTGTTTTTTTGAAAAATTAGATAACCTTAAAAGTAATTATAGGTCATTAGTGGAGGCGGAACTGGTTAGTTTATGATTGTTTCGATTTTCTATTTATTTTTCTGTGTTGCTTATATTTTGTTACTATTATCCTATGCGTAACTCAATTGATGATTTTTAGGGTCTTTTTGGTTATTTGGTTATTTGTTTCCTCTGCATTGTGTGCTGAGTTTTCGGTCATTGATTATTTGGTTGTGTTAAACTATATTGTTGTCTAAGTGAACTGTGAGTATAAAATAAGATATGGTTATTGCGTAGTTGATTGTTATATTGATGGAAATATGTATGGGAAAGACTTACTAGGTACTCGAAAAAAGGAGAAATAAGCTCGGTATATAGGGAACCCTACCGTAAACGTTATCTCAATCGAACTGAGCTGGGAAGTCTCTTACTAGTAAGGTTTGAAAAATATGATTCACCTTCATATTGGATGATATATAGAGTTGGTGGAATATTTGACACCTATTACCGGATAGGATACGGGGATGATCGGTTAATTGTTTAATTAGATATTGGATTTACGAGTAGGAAGATATCTCTATAAACCTCCAAAGGTATCGGTAAGTGGTAAAAATATAAAATGATTATTTTTTGTTATCTTCAATGTGATAAATAAATAGTGCATGAATATGAGTTTTCATAAGTTATTATTGGGAAAAACTTGTTACACAAATATGAAATAAATGGTTTCTTTATAGTAAATAAATTTACATTAAATTAAGGGCTCCATTGATTGTTTTTCTTATTTTTACCAATCTTCAGTTTTTCGTATTTATTATTAGTGTGATATTCTTACTAGATTAGTGTAGTTCACCCATTCATTAATTATTTCAGATCAAGAGGACCAAGATCCAGATCCCGATCAACAAAGGGGTTGTAAATAATTTACCATCCGGACCCTCTTTAAAAGCTAGTGAAGGTCGTCCTAGGATTGCTTAATTATTTGCCTTTTGTTTATTTCTTTAATTTTTGTTTGTTCTTTTAGAAGAGACATTCTCGTAGTCCTATTGAGCATTCT